ATTTGAACTTGGTCAAATATATCAAGAGATAAAATTTATAAATGCAACTCTTACTTTAAAATGTGTGCAAAACAAAAGTCCTTTGTCCACTGTAATTTGATTTAAATTTAGTTCATTTTGTATTTCAATTATAGTTGCATTACAAACTTTAAAAACTTTTTCTTCACACATTAGAAAGAATCCAGAATATCATGAAACATGAAATATATAATCTTACATAGAAGATTACAAGTAAGAATAAAATTTACACCCTGCAATAAGAAGACTGTTAGGTTCTCCTACTGTAAGTGTGGCTTTGGTTTCTTTAAAATACAATTTTGGCTGCATTATTTCTACGGATGGAATACTTCATGATAAGCATTAAATCAAGATAATATTCATACGTAAACCATAAAGATGTACATTACTAATTACTGTATACAATAATACCTCCATTGTTCATTGTATCCTTCAAATGTATCAATGCCAACAAGTGAGTAAATATTAGAGTCATGTATCAGTAAACACCAAAACCACCAGTACAAAAATCCTACAAGTGTAACAGTGGTTTTGAGCTAGCAGAAATTACATTTATAAAATGTTGAGATTAGCTTCTCAAAGCAAGTTACAAATTATTTCTAGCATATACATAACTGAACAACCTTTAAGAATGAAACCTTTAATAATGAACTTAAAGCACTGGAAAAATGAGCTGCATTTAGTGGGGAGAAGTATAGTGACGGTGGAATTTTATTATTTTTTTTTTTTCTTATTCAGCCTGGAACAAGTTACTGAAACTCATTGGACTTTCCTTCTTGTAACAGAGAGGTTGGAATAATTCAAGGGTGTTGGAAACTTCAATTCAGAGGTTTGAAACCAATTTTATACGCAGAAACTTGCAACCAGTAAGTCAAGGAAATAACATGATATATGGCCTTAAGATTTAGCAGGGTCAGGACCAAAGACTATAAACTCCTCCAGATGATACAGCTATCTTTCAAAATGGCAAAAATGTACACTTAAAAACTGGAGCTTTGATTACAGATACAATAGGAATATTTTTAAATACAAAACTTATGCAAAGAAAACAGCTAAAATAACAAACTGTCATAACAATTGCTCAGATGATTACATAATATGTTGTCAATTTTATTTTTCAGTTTGTCTTCCTCCAAATCTGTTTTTCTGTACCTAACACATAAAAGCCATTAACAGTAGTCAATTTTCTGCAGAATATTTTCTCATAATTCATCCATTAGTGTCATAGTAATCATATAAACTTTAAATTGAAATGCTAAAAGCAATTTTTCTTTTATTTTTATCATTAAAAAAAAAAAAAGGGGAAAAGTACTGCAAGACATAGTCTGAATATGGAAACCCTACACCTGGGCAGGTACATGGGAATTTGTTTTCATTCAATCAAAACACCGTTTCTTTTATTAAAATGTTAATACTGTACTTCATAAAACATCATGCAAAAACAGAAACAGCTTTATCACATAACTGACAAAAAGGATGCAGAATATTTCTCCCATATATCCTATGTTATTTAATCACAGACCCAAATTCACAACCAAAAGAACAAGTTGTGCTGTTTACCCAGATGTGCTGTAACACAACACTGCATTTCCAACAGAGATTGACAACTGTGGAGTGGTAAAATGACCCCTTTTCCACTGGCATCACAAGTAAGATGCAGAGAGGGGCCTTCCTTTATAAAAATCAATTAGAGCATTAAATCCTATTTCACTTTTCTTGTTCTCTTTAGTGTTGCTCCTTTTTAAAAATATGATCACTTTGCTTAAATAGTTGATCAGCAGTAAAAATAAATTCATCAGACTGCTTACAAGCATAAAAGGCACTGTGCCTCCTCATTTGATCTAATTTTACTATGCTTAAATTCCAGTGACTGCCTCTAATTGTGCAGTAAGATACTCACAAAGAAAATTATGATACTCCATTGGAGAACTCTTTTTGATCAATTTTTTACCTACTTGTTCTCTGCATTTTCACTCCCTCTTCACATTTTGGCAATTACCTCAAAATTTCCAGTAATATCAGAACCATATCACCACGTTTTTACAAGGCGGTTAACACAGGATGAACAGGGATGCCATCCTTCTGTCACAAAAAATGACAACACACTGATAATTATGGTATCTTTGCCATTCTAGAACATGATGTGAGAAGAAAATATAAATTAAAAGACTTGGTGCTTTATTTTTTTGTTCTTTAGTTTATTTTTAAGATTTATTTTGGAAAACGGCGGGCTAAATAGCATGAATGGAATTTTTTTTTCTTTGCATTTTGAGACAGAACTTTTACAGAGGACCACAACACACACATCAGCTCTGTTCTTCCCACCTTCTCACTTTCTCTTAACAATCACATTACTTGTTATCAGTCTGCAGTTTTCCTTAGTGGATTCACAGCCTCAGATTCTTTTCTCTGAGCAGGTCCAGTTGACAACAATACAATGCCAAGCTCTTGATGAAACATTAGCATTGTTCCATTGTTTGCTCCTTAGAAACTCCAACAATAAAGATGCAGTAGTAGCAGAGATTTCATAAAAATCAAGAACACTACTATATTACAGTTCTTTGACAAGTTTTAGAGAAGTCTAAATCACTTCAGAGCATGCTTGATCAATCTATCCTGTCTTTTTTGCAGCTAGACAACAGTAACGACCTAGCATCCCTGCACCAGCTGAAAAGTACAGAAGAAAAGGCAGAAATATACTATATTCTATACTTTGTAGTATAGAAAACCAAAAGATCTGCATTAAGACAAGCTAATGTCAAGAAAGGTAAAGTTATTTCTACAAATCTGTGACTTCTGCAACTCTAATCGTCTAATTCAAATCCTATGCTACATCTTCATTCTTTCCCTTTTTCACCTGTGACACACAATGTATATTGTTAAGTGGCTTCACATTAACAGGTAACAAAAAAGCATCATCTCCAATCTACCTATTTAAATTTCTAGAAATTTCTCTTCCATGGTTTGCTAGGAACAGTGCCTTTTGTTTATACTCACGTATAAAATTGAAGCACAATCTTAAGCAAGCTTGATTATGAATGAATGTTCTTGTCAGCTACAAGCAGATGCATGTCCATACATATGAAAGGCAGAAATGAATCATCACAATTTAAGGGCTTCAAAGTCAGGAAATCTTTACCACCTACATGCAATCTAATTTCAAGCTCTGTTCAGCAAAGTGATAGCTGAGAAATGACAGTTACCAATCATTTTCAGAGTATACCTCAGCTGCTGCACTATTACAAGCATGAAGTCTCAAACTTTAGAAGTCACCTGAGTAGAATTAAGAAGATTATGATCAATGAACAGTAAAAAAAAAAAATAAAATTACACATTCTTTACCTCTGATACAATGATCTTTCTTGGATCTGAAAAAGCCTTGTGAATTACATCCCACTGTCGAAGTAAAGAGATTTATCCAAGATTTACAGAAAGCCTAGTGTTCTAGAAACAGGACAGATACACCCAAGGCACTGATTCAGCTCTATACAAAAGGCACTTAAAAGCAGGGCTCACCAATTTATTTTTTAGTTTTAAGAAAATAATAATTGCCTCAACAGACAGAGCAACTACCACAAAGTAACAAGTTACTGAGGGGCACTGGCTGTGTGGTGACTGCCTGCATTTCCCACAGCAAATGCCAGTCATTCCAGGTAGCCTACCCTTTCATCTACCTACCTTGCATTACCCTATCACCATTACAGATGGCCAGCTAGACCTTGGACACAAATGTACGTATGATTTACCAAAAAAAGGACAAGATGATACAACTAGCTTTGTAGCATGTGTGTTAGGTGTGAACTGCTCATAAGTGAAATCAGATACTATAACTTCAGATGCCCCTTGCAGTAGACCAAACCTACTTTTCCAGCTTCAGTTCTTCTATCACGCTACCGTTTAACACCCCACACAAACCAATGTCAAAACTGGAACAGGCTGCCCAGGGAGGTTGTGGAGTCTCCTTCTCTGGAGACATTCAAGACCCGCCTGGACGCCTTCCTGTGTGATCTCATTTAGGTTCCTGCTCCGGCAGGGGGATTGGATTAGATGATCTTTTGAGGTCCCTTCCAATCCCTAACAATCTGTGATTCTGTGATAACCTCACTTCTGTGTACCAAAAGCATAAGCAGAATAACACACACAGGCAAACTCTTCTTAAAATGTTTAACCTAGAACTAAAAGCTAGAAAAAAAACTGCAGAGAGATGTTTTTCTCCCCATTTTGGAGCTCTGCTAAGCAGTAGCTTTTGCAACAAGAGAAGCACAACAGCTATGAGAGCTTCCATGTAAAACAGTTGTAAGGTTGCAATACATGAGTAATGTAGCTAGTGAGAAGGAACGGAATTGCTTCTGATTCAAATTGCTGAATTTACAAGGATACAACATTTGTAAAATGTAGCAAACTACAAGTCTTCTCAACTGTAGCACATATGTTGCAGTAAACAATAACAACTCTGATTCGGGCAGTTGAGTACTTGTATAAAGAAGTAATTTTTACACTGTAAATGATTTTTTTTTTTAATTGTGTTCCACATCTCAAATACTGCTAATATACAAATATATTCGGCATCTAGTGATTATCAAGTCATCCTACAGGACAGAATGTTGAGAATTACAGTAAGTTACTAAACAGCATAATTTCCCAATTATATTGTCAAATGTAGTGTGTCGGGAATTACACTTTAAAACAAAAGAAAAGCTTTCACACTTATGATTTCACTACACTGCTTAAAACAGCTGGTGAAAAGTCACCGGTCTTCCATGCAAGTTAAAACATGCAGGCTTTTTATTTATGTTAAATCCAGAAGCTATTTTGAAAATAAAAAAATCCTATGGTTTTTGAAACTACCTCTGAATTTACCTTTGAATTTACATGCAAAACTTGAATTCACTTCTTCATCAATGAAAAAAAAAAACAAAAAAACAACAACTTTACCAGGACTGAAAGTACTTATTGCAAAGGTTAAAAGCACTTGTTCCTACCTCCACTTTTGTTCGGTAGAGAACGAGACGCCTTAGGCTGCCCACTTTGGCTATGTGGTTGAAAGCCTGAGGTGGTATTTTGTCACATGATGAGAGATTTAGTTCCTGAAGATTTGGACACATTTCAGTAATGACCTCCAAGCATGTTTCATTGAGGAAATGGCCACAAGACAACTCAAGACGTACTAGTTCAGAGCCACAAACTTTCAAGAATCTGTAAAAAACACATTTTAAGTAAAAAATAAATGTACTTTCAGGTAGGAGTTTGAATACTGTCAAAACCTTAAGCGCATAAACCAGGAAAGAGTTCCTTTCAACAACGAAAAGCCTACAGACCACAGCTCTTACGTCACCTCAGTTAACTGACAGAAAACACGATTAAGCTAATTTATCACAAACACTCTAAAGAAGTTACTTCTGTATCAAATCTGTACAAATCCAGAAGAGATCAAACTAATTAGGTGTTGAGTTAGAGAGCAATATGAAAAAACCAAAGGTAGCTTGAATGTTAAGGCTGTTTCATCAACATTAACCTGATAATATACATGACCTAGATATTATACACTGTTTTGTACAAAGGAATATTTGACTATATATACTTTAAGAAACACAGAAGGCTATATAATGCTACACATGGCGTATGGAGGCTAATGTCACTAAAGCAGCCTTAAAAAGCAATCCTACCTCGAAAACAAATTGCAAAAGAATCACTGGTGATGAGAACAGTACAGAGAGGGCTTTTTATTAAAATAACATTAGTCTGAAAATGCTGCTTGGCTTTAAAAAGGTGGAACATGCTTCCTTCTTGCAATTTACTCTGAGACAATGGAGCAAAGTACAACGCAGATAATGTCTGAATGTCCCCAAAGCCAATCTTGGCAGTGGCCTGCAAGTTTCCATCAATAACTTCATATTTCTCCTTATCTCAGAAAAATCTGCAAATCTAAAAATGAGGTTAAACAAAGACCTTTAAATGGATGAAATATTCAGTAAAAGTATTTTAAGACTTTCTGAAAAACACCTCATTCCTTTCATTAACAAATAAGTCAAAATCAACACTTTGAAGCTGTTCTAGAACACGGAGATTCCTAAGGACTATTTCACAGGACTTTCAGTGGAATTATAAAAATTTAAGATATTAGAAGACAAAATATCCCAAATTTAGAAACTTTGATGGTCTCTGCATGAATGAACACCTTCTGCCAGAAATCTTGTGTCAGAAATTCATGCTCTATTATATCTAATCCAAGCTTTAATTAAGAAACACATAACCTTATGTCCCTTTTTATTCCAAAGATAACCTTCAAACTGTGAATCAATCACTAGGATTGCAAGTTTGATTTTTAATAGGGGGGGGAAACCTCAAACATAGGTTGCAGTGATTTTGTTATACTTTATTTTAACAGTTTCTCCAGTAGAAAAAACTAAGTTTCTAACCTGTGGGTTGCAATGAGTTCCCCTTGTTACTTCCTAGCATAACGGAGCTACTTATGAGAAAGTATGAATTAGTTTCTGTTAATACTCTGATCTGCTTTATTACCAGTTCTCTCCTACTAAAATCTTCGCGTAGACAAAGCAGATTTAGGTTCCCACACTTTTGCTGTAAGCATTACTTCTTGGGTTTAGCTGATACAACGGAAATGCCAGAGAGACATGAGGCTTCTACTTGTACAAGACCCCCTATTCCTACAAGGTATTAGCCTTCCCAAGACTTTGCTCGTGATGAAACTTAGGTCAAAATACCCGCTAGTCTGAAAAGCAGACGTATTCAGGAAGGCATTCCTCAATGACACTAAAATGACTTGAAGTCCATCTTTCAAGACCCAAGTTTTCAAATCTTCTCCTCTCCTTATTTTTCATTACTCACTCCAGTCATACTTGCCATTCATCATTACCTTTCTTTATTATTTTCATCTTGAACATTACATGGCCTTACTTTGATTATGCAGACCCTATGCAAAATGGAGGGGAAAGGAGATTCCAGGGTGGCTCTTGGAAACCTCCTGGAACTGACCTGATCTAGCACTGGGGACACTGGCATTTTAAGTGGGAGCTTGGAGTAGATGACCTTCAGAGGTCCCTAACATCCAACATTTCTATGAGCCTATGCAAACAGAAACAAAGAGAGGGTCTGAGACATGAGAGGGGGGACGTAAGCCCCAGACCCACAGGGGTTCTGCAAAGTATGGCCTTCAAATCTGCTCTTCCACTAGTTTTGTCTAACTCAGCACAGTCCGTCTTTAGAATCTATTTTAGCTTGTAAAACCAGAGTTTAATCAAACACCAAGCAGTAATTTTCTGTTTTCATACTACACACAGTGAATTCATCTAGATCCGTATGCTTTCTTACGGGAGTGTCAGAGCTGAAACGACACAACAATTCACAACCATTAACAACAGCTATTTAAATATTAAACTGCTATTTTAGACTAGCAATGGAGTTCAACACTGCCATGGAGAAACACAGGATGGAAATTCCCTGGAAATCAGAGTAGCGACATATGGATTCATCGCTGATTACCAATTAGCCAATTCCTCTATTTAATGAGTGCTTTAACAATACGTTCACACAGCTTCTTTCATCAACAAATTATCAGGTTTGTTTGAATGGTGATATTTTCCATAAAACCTTGTCAATCACCACTTATTATACCTCTAGCTTTTAATTTGCTAACAGATAAATATTTTATGAATTACTCCATTACAATAATGGATGTTAGGTTAACTGCCATATAATTTAACAGGGCCTGGCTGTTATAAATGTTGGTACAGATTAATTATTTTCTCCTTCTAGGACTATTAAAAGTCTGACTATTACCAGGTCAGGGAAACACTTGGTTAACCCCCTAGACTTGGAGAAGAACTCCAGGCTCACCAGCTTGAGCAGTTATCATCTTCATAATGTTTTATTTAAATTCATTACATTTGAAACACACAGGCAGAGCAAACAGTGATAGCAACAAGCATTCACTGCATTTCATGGCTTTGCTGCCTTTTTGGAAAAGGTTACTTAGAAGACATTAAACAGAAAGGCAAGAGGGATAGGAACATGCAGCAGGCTACAAAGAACAAGTTGACAGGCATGAAGTAAGGAGATAAACAGAAACAGGAGGAGGAATTTGAGGAAGTCACCAACCAGCATAGGGCAGAGAGCACTAGGCAAACTGCAGAGTTCTCCAAATTATCAAGACACCCCAATCTTTGTTTTCACTTAACAGGTTGCTCAGGACAGCGGTTCTTGCTAACACCTTTCTACATGGATCTCCAAAGCCATATGGTAAGGTAGAACAGGGGTTCTCATGCTTTCAGAACAAATGTGGCATGGCCTTCATACTTCTGAGACTTAGACACTGGATGCCTGATTCTGACTTAGCTCATTTAAAAACAAACAATCCCCAAAAAAGAACCTTCTACCCAAATCAACATCTCTTCACGTACCTCTCCTTTAATCACTGAGAACTGAGTGGTTCCTGGTTTTTTAGCCTCCCCTTCTTTCTGCACAGCCATCCATTCCTTTAGTTTTGCTTTTACTATCAATATTTTATACACATGATTTCTGAAGTGATTTCCCTTCATCCCTTCATGTTTGTTATGAAATATGACTGACTAAGCAACCTAGAATAATGTGAACATGTACATTTATTTTGCTAGACACTGGATTAGACCTTTCCCTCTAAGTTTACCCTCATTCTAGAATACAGTATTTCAGGGGCTTTTTGGTTGTTGTTGTTTTTTAGAGGGTTGGGTTTTGTTTGCTTTGTGTGGGGTGCTTTTTTTTTGTTTTGGTTTGTTTTTTAAAACTAAAAAAAGCACTCTCACTTTCCATCAGCACCTGTCTGCTCTCAAGAACTTCTGCTCGTTTCTCCCCGCTTCAGCTTTTGGGAAGTAAGATAGCCCTACTGAAATCTTTCTGAAACATCAAATGTATCTATTAGCAGTTAGGATGCTATTTGCTCATGCTGATGTTAAACCCATCATTATCACAGGGTCACTTAGTCTATCAACAACTTCCCGTCTTGTAATTCATGTTTGTATCATAAGCATATCCCACAAGCCAAAGAAGATCTAAAATGAAAATACCAAGGTACAAGAGATAGCATCCTTCACGTCAGAACTGACTGCATAAGACCTCCCAAACAAAATTCTCAAAACACATTTAGACGTATGCTTATGAGGTACATCACATGTGCTCCAAGGGTTTCTAATGGAACTCCACTGGATCCAAAACCTACTCTTCAGTGTTAGCATAATCATCCTCACTTACTCGGTATCCCATGGTTCAAAGTTACTGAAAACTCTACAACAAGCAGGGATCACAGCCCAGTTCTCTCTCATCTCCTCATCCCTCCTAAACACAAATAGATACCTATTTTTATATTCCTGCAGTAAAACTATCCCAACAGGTTTCAGTCATGTTGATTTTACTAAATCTGTTTTTAACGAAAATCTCAAGTACTCATTTAGTAGTCACTGACCTAAAAATCACTGAATTTGGTGTCCAAGGGGTTGGGGTAAGCAACTTCCATTTATGAATAACAGAGTCCGACAGATTTTCTTTCTTTAGCATTTTCCCTTGTAGTGTTACCATATGCTAGCATCCAAATCAGGGATGTTACCTCCATTACTTGACAGATATAACAATGTCCCATTTGCCTAGCCTTCCTTAGGATCTCCCTCCTAAAACCAGTATTTAATGAAAACAACCATTTTGGTTAGCTTCAAGCCAACTACACACTCTCTTCAGCTATTTGGGTCTCCTGCTTTCCAGAGCCTGCCACCAGACAAGAATAATTAAAAAAACAAACAAACAAAAAAAACCCCACACCATTCTTTCTCATTTCTCTTCTAAGATCTTGAGGTCTTCTCTTTCTTACTATAGTTCTAGCTATATTACTTGCACAAACTCGGCAGAGAACTTCATAATCCCAATCTGTTTTGCAGTTACAGTCTTGCATTTAATCCAATGGCTTGCAGAATTGTATTTTAATATACTACTTGAAATCATGTTCCGATATATTTATACTCACAGTGATGCTTTTCCTTTCAGGATTGCTGTGTTGCACAACAGCAGCAGCATCTAGTACAGAAATTCTAATAAAAGTGTTAAGATTGGTCTGACTGGACAACAAATGGGTACATACAGGTGTAGAAGCACAAGAAAGAACAAATGGCAATGCAAAGGCTGGTAGAGTGGTGTGTGTTGGTGGACTTCAGATTAGCAGGTCATCAAGAACCTTGAACATCTATGTATGTGCCGTTTCTCAGGACATGCAAATTAGGAGATGAAGGACAGAGGTGGCACAGGACAGTGAGAACACACTCTAGACAAATTGCTTTGGACACACTTCTCAGTTGTCCTGGTGCATGCAAGAGTGCACACTTGAGAGTGAAACCAAATAAAATAATTTTCTTTTTAAAATGAAGTCACCTCCCCTTCCTCTAAGCCGTTCTAATTGTTACAATGTTATTTTCTACTCTAGCACGTATTACACATTTTGTCAGCAAACCTTAAAAACATTGCATACAAGCAGGGAGAATATTAAGTACCTGAACTTGTGCTTTCCTCAACACAGATTAAACTATTTCAATAAAAACATGCCAAACAAACATTATTACTTAATTGCAGTTACAGCAACTCTAGGTTTTACTAAAAAACTGTGGAAATTAAAGCGATAGACAGACATGACTTTTGAATTGAGAATCCCTGTAAAGTCACACATTACTCCTATTTTCTGTGACTATTTGATGTATGTTTCAGTAATTTCTCTGACCTTCCTGATAGTTTGATTTGTAGCAAAGCCTCACCAAGTTAAACATTGTCAAAAAACACCTCTGTTAAACAGCATCTAAAGCTTTCAAACATTAAAAACAACAAAACTGTTAAAGAAATATTCCTGGATGTGCTTGACAAGCAAACACTGCATCATTAACCTGAAAATAAAACACTATTAATACATTTTCACAGTATAAAATTTCAGAGGTAATTAAAAATCCTAATACCTCAGAGATTTAAAGCAAAAGGGTTTAAACAAACTAATGATGTTATCAGTGATACAAAGAAATTTGTGTGCCAAACTCATTTTTTAAACTGTCATTGTCTTTGAGCTGTTTAAACCTCAGAGCATTTATTCAGCATCTTGATATTTAGTGCACCTCTAGTCAACTTGCCTCACTTTTCCTATGTAGGTCTTATTCTCCCAGGCTGATATCCCCCTGGCAGGAAGAAATTCACCATACCTCTAATGTCACCAGAAATGCAGTGCTGCTTATGTAATGTTGCTGTGAAATCTTTGCTTATTCCCCGTTACTTGGCATTCCAGACACTTGAGACTGCTCAGATATTCATTTCATTTGTCTTTCACTTTTTCATATACTTTTAGTTCAATCTAAGCAATAAAGTTTAGTTAATTTATATTATATGCTGAAATGAAAAATTTATGATAGTCATTTTTAGCCCTAAGGAGTAGATGTTATCAATAAGTTAAAATACCTTCAGCTTTGCCTCAGGATGTTCATATGCCTGAAGCATTCTGTCTTCTCATGATAATACAGTATTTGCTTCAGTCACATTTCTTAAAATTACTCTATTTAAAAATTGTCTACTTTAATACATTTTTCCAAGAAAATATATTTTCAATTATTTCTTACAGTCATGTCTATATGAACCTTTCAAAGCAACACACAAATCTACACAAGCTACTTCTTTGAAGACTGTCATAAGAAGCCATAGATAAAAACATTTGTGAAAGATATTTACCAAAATAAAATTCGAGCAAGAGCAGCATTTAAACATGCCCTGACTTGCAGAAATCATAATCTAAACTGTACAGTCGTAAGAATAAAACTAGCCCCACCAGTTTTGAATTCAACACTGCAAATGTAACACCAAATGTTGAGAAAAGTGCAAAAATAAACAAAGCAAAAACCAGGTCCTGTAAAAGTGAAATGCTGTTATATTTGAGGATAAGGTATTTTGGTTTTAGCATTTTGCTGTTTCTATACTGTAGCAATTTGTAGTGTTTTTGAAGTTATTTACAAATTTACTTTAGCAAATTACGTTTCTTCTCCGTGAATTGAGAAATATAGGTTGGCCTTTTAAAAACAGCATAATGGAGTTCTTCAAATTGTTACAAATTCTAGTCAGAATTCTCTACACCTCCAAGCTGTTGGCTTGACAGCCATTCCTGGTTGCTTACGCAGCAATTTATCATAAAATTTATAAACCTCAAGTATTGGAACAAGCAATTTAGGCTTGTTTCAAATCAGCTTCAAGTTACAAGAAGACTTCTTCGGCGTGGAACAAGCAATTTAGGCTTGTTTCAAATCAAGTTACAAGAAGACTTCTTCGGCAATTAAATCCAAACTAAAAGATGCAGCTTGGTACTCTATAGGCATACCTCATTGCCTTATTTTAAAATTTCCTTTGCAGAAAGAAATGGAGAACACCAGGACCAGAGAGAAGGATAAAAAAAGAAACCAACAAACTGATTCAGAAACACTCACACCGTAGGCAGCAAGAAAAGATTTTACACTAATAAATGTAGTGGTACATGTCTTCTACTGTTAGGCATAGACAGACAAATACACGAGTATTTAATCTCTGCAAAGAGAAGTACAGTCTGAAAATCTGATTAAGTTTTTAGTAACAGTTAACATCAGCAGGTAACTGATAAAAGCAGCAATGCACTCTCCCCAGCCACCTGAGAATCTCCTCTGCAACACTCATATTCTGAAGAATAAACTGGAAAGAAAATTCAAGAGTGAAACAGAATTCCTAGGAAAGTCTAAGTACCTCCATTCTTTGAAAACTCTTGTTTTGCGTAGTATCTCCCAAAAGTCAGGCTGGGTGAGGAACAACTAGAAATCCAAAAGGAAAAATTGTGGGAGTCATAACTATGTGTCCTGGGTGCTACAATATTCACATGGTGATGGTATCTTAATGACAGCCAGGGTAATGGAACTGAAACATTACTTGACAGGTTTCTCCTTCGAGGAATAGTATTTCTTACAAAGAAGCTACTTTCTTCAAAGAAAGTTACATTAAAGCTTTTGAAAAGCAGGTGTTTTTCTAATAAGTCTCCTGTATTAATAGATACTTCCATAGCAAATGAGCAGCAGATTTTCATTTTGTGGAGGCCAGCAAATTTGACAAACAAGTTGATGAAGAATGTCAAAAGAAAAATTAGCGTTTGGAAATTTTACTAGAAAAGACACTTCTACAGAATGAAGAGCTGAAAGTTATTTCTGTATTAGGAAAAAGAAAATTTTCAAAACCAGACCTAGTTACAGTGGAGAATTGATTCAGAAGCAAAAATTCTGAACAGAAGTCTCACCTGAAAATTATCTATCTTACAATTTTGTTTCAAAAATTTATGACTGAACTGCATCTTCCATTCCCAGACTGCAGGTATCTCTTCCAATAAATACTTTTTCCTAGAAACACAGATAACTTCACAATTGTATCAATGTCCAAAAACACTTTTCCCCCTTGTTAGAAATAAACATCATCCATTATAATGAATATAAATTGACCATGTTTATTCACAGATTATGAATGCAATTATGCATGCAATTATGAAAGCAATGAATATTTATTATTTTAGAAATGCTGACTACACAGAAGTGTTGCCTTTTAGTTCAGCACTGAAGTTAAAAAAAAAAAAAGTCATTAGCACTAAAGCCATTTTCAACTAACTGGAAGCCAGAAATGCCAGAACTGCAAAGTTTATAACTCTCTGAATTTGGACATTAATTTCTTTTAAGATTGCAAAATTTTTTAGCAGTACTGCATGTTAAAAAAAATAGTGAAATTTAAAAAAATGCCATGAAAATGCATATACTTTAAGTCTTCAATAGAAAGATTTAATAGCTAAGCATCAGAGAGCAAGCACTTCATGATTTCAGAGTTGAATTCTTAATTAAAGCTTGCATATTTACCCTCTGCATAATGTGTCTAATACGAAATCCAAATTTAAGAAGAATGTTTGCACCCCATTCAACAACTAGCTAATGTGTGTCTCCTTTTTCTATCAACAAGCACAAGAGCTCTTGGATTATACTGGGAAGTCAAGAAAAAAGGAAGCGACGTCCTCACCTTGACAAAATATTTCTTAAAATTATTTTATTTCCCTAGGGAGGGCACCCAGGCACCAAAGAAACTATTTGAATACTTGATTTAACCTTTTTATTCAGAAAACAAATGAGAGTTAAGACAATTTTTTTTAGATATATTCAACATTTCTGTTTCTTATCAGTCAAGTTCTGCTTTCACCTGCCATTGCTGATTACCTCTTAGCTGAAGCAGCAATTTTCGCTTAAATGAAATGCATTGATAGATGCTGTTTAACTAATGCAAACAAGCAAAGAAGCAAGAAATCATGTGTTAAGAAAGTAGAGAACACAGCTGTTATACAGAGAAGAATCCCTGCAAATTTGCTATTTTAATGACCTACAGCACAGTCATATTTTCAGCTCAGTGGAAGATGCACATGCAAACTCCCTGTTTCCCAATAGGGCTAATGTTTTAAATCATTTTTATTAAAATATTTGCATTTACATTGCACTCCAGTGATTACTTAGGGCCCATACATTGTAAGCATGCACTGTAATCAGTCTATGACTGCAGCCATTCTAATACAGTCCTACTGATAACTCATCGGTACAAAGAACAATGGCAAACATTTTCTTCATGAGATGGACTTTTGACAGCTTGGTTCTAGTGGAGTCTTTTAGAAGCCCAGGAGAAATCAAAACTTTGCTCCCCATGGAAGAAGCCTTCAGTCACAGGCAGTTTGGCACACACTGAAACAGACTTCTGCTGCTGTATCTAGTATCTCTTACTGTTTTAGCTGCTGTTTATTTCTACATCATAACAATCACACCCTTTATAGTGAATCAAAGACATTTCCTGTCTTTTAATAAGGTTTCAAATACTTAGTGAAACTACTGCACAGCAGCTCTGCAAACAGAGCTTGTCAAAATACTTCTGTACGTTTAGCACTGACCTGCTAAATCCAGAAACAGAGATGGCTCCCCTGTTTCCAGTCCAAGATAAATTCAGCCACTGGATGAGAGTGCAGCGAGACTGTAGGTATTCCAGAGATGTGTCATTAATCCTTGCCCAGTAAGGTTGTAAACTGAGATGAATGTACTGTAGAGGATCACAGCAATGTTGATATAGTAGCTTACAAGTTTGCGCTAGTCTACACAGGTCTGGTACTGTAAGGTGACTCAAAATCAACTGGATGAGCTATATTAAAAACAGAAAAAAAGTCACAGATGGTCATATAGCACTTGAAATGTTAAGGGAAAACTGCAAAGGAATAAGAAAAGATGTTGTAACTTCAAAGAAAAGTAAATCCTTTTACTTAAAAGTAACTTCTCAAACAAATCATTAACTATTAAATAGGACTGCGCTGCCTTCTCAATTTGACGACATATTAAACAAGAAAGGAAAAAGCAGATCAGCATATGAAAGTGACATGAAGCTTTCAAATTAGAAGTTTCTTTGCCCATGCTAATTTAAACAGTGATATATATGTAAACACTATGTTTACATATTTCCTTTCACAATACCTGCACTGCTGTTGATCAGAACACTGAATTGGCATCCTCTTTCTTCTCTGGATATGTTTTTTTTTAAGATGGTAGCATATTTGCAGAGTACATGGAAAAGCCATATCATGTCCTAGTTTCCCCACACCCTGAACTGATTTCAGATTTATTCCTCTGCTCTCTGCCTTAAAAAAATCAGTGTTTTGTCTTCTACCTTACATCCCCTTTCATCCAAGCTGAACTAGGAAATTAGGTAAAAAAATGAACATATTCAGATCTTCTTTTACAAAGTAATCTCTTCCTTCCTATAAATACTTTGTGAGCATTGTTGTTCTACGCCAGAGTCAAATCTGAAAGGCAAAAGCCCATTTTACTTTTATCAGATTGAATCATCTCAGCTTCAGAATAATCACCAGCCCTTCTGGCTAGCACCACCATACATGTTGTCGTAAAGACTTATCTCATACTTAGAAATTAAGAAATATCCCCCATCTCCTATCATGCTCTGTTTTCCTTTCTAAAGGAAGATCAACACACAGGGAGACATAAACATTCACTTTGAGAAATAACAAAAATGCTCAACAACAACAACAACAATCTCCTTCAGCTTGGAAACAGAGAAAAGGCGCTTGAAAAATGAAACCTAAAAATGAATGTTTATTTACCAGGGCCGTCTCTAGCAGCTATCAGTACCTGCACTCAAGTTACGTAACTAAAACTGACTAAGTGTTTTCAAGCAGACTGGGAAACAATAACTCACTGAAATGAATCAGTGTAAATTAAAAAAAAACCAAAACAACCCACCCACAAATCAGCTTAAACTGAAGAGAGTCCTGTGGCCCTTTCAAAATACCATAATGTTTCATTTTAATGTCTTATAAGGATTCAGAAGACAAAACCGCCAAAAATCAGAACAAAATGCTTGACATAAAATGAAAATGAAGCTTCTGTGAGATCCAAACAGATTGTACTTCCAATATACCAGTTTATTATGCAGCTAGCTTCCGCCTCCCCTCCTCCCCCTTTCATTTTTGGAAGAGAAGAAATAAGAAAACAATCCAGCTTCCTGTAAAATGAAAAATGTTACTTCCTACTCAGCTCCAGATTTAGTATTTGGATCTCAAACACGATCTACGACTCTTCAAAAAATTTAACTTCAACTCCAATGCCAAAATACAGTGTGTTTGCATATACTCCAGTTTCTCTCAAGCTTTATTTCAAGCCTTCCCTCTTCCCTTCTCCTCACTCCTCCTTTTCCCTAAAAACAGCCCATGCTTTTTTGTCTCAGCAGGTGCATGGAACTCTCACCTCAGTTTGATGCAGAAGATCTGCATAGACATTTCAATGTGATGGCAATATTTATATATATATATATATGTATATAAAAATACAAAATATAATGCACATATAATTGCTGCAGTTAATACATCATAATCAACAAAGTTTGCTCCCAACTGACATTTAGAGAAATATCAATTTGCTCTGAGAAAGAACGAAATAACTAGGAGCTAACATAAATATATAATCCCAAGTTAAAATCTTGATTTTTGCTTGGCTCAGATCCATACCTAAGCTTAAAAGTTGCTTAACACAGTTTTGTTTGTCATTCTAATAGTAGATACCTAAACATGTACCTATTTTTCTAAGGCCACTTTAAATAATTTTCAATATTCTGAAAGACAGCTTCAATCTATTTTGCTATTCCTATCAAACAATCAAACTTATAGCTATTCCATACTCTGTAAGCCACCTAAATATCTCTTTTATTAATACCTTTTCCTGCAGATTTTTCCCATGCTTATTTAGTAAGTTTTCTAAAGCAGAGCACTCAGCAACAAAAGCTGCACAGTTACCTAAATTTATGTCTACAATTAGAGTAGCATAATAATGTCTAATAAAAACAGAGTAACACTAATTTTGTTCAATGGAAAAAAAAAAATAGTTATTTTGTAACTTCTGAGCAGTAAAGATAATGGTGGCTGAAACTATAAATGCTTCACCAATGTCCCTTCACACTAACTGATGACTTCAATATTTCATAACATATAGGATGTTGCAATCTTTCCAAACCTGAGATGAAATCTCTTACCACGTGAATGCCTTAATCAGAAAAAATAATCCTTCTTTACTTTTTACTGAAAATATGCTACTTCATAAGGATGAAAAAAATATAATGAAATGTTCTACTATGACATTAAGATATAAAGTACTTTTTTTCTGGCTTTTGAGTAAACAAAGATAATAGGCTCCAAACCTACAGGCTAATAACCATTAATCACCGTTAGTCGGGAGTCTGGTGTCTGTCAGAAATTCACTTTTTATGTATGTGTATCCTAGCAGAAAGTACAATTTGATACTATAATGAGTATGTGACATGATGTGCTGTATTGTGCTACGCTGTGTTCATGGTGATTCTATCTGCTTTGAAAACTAATTTTGTAACACAGTTTCTTGCAAACAACTGTTTTTACTCTGCATTTATGAAAAATTATGGCAACCATTATTGCTTCACACTTTCTTATAAATCAATCAGTAAAAACAAAGATTATTGTTAAAAAAATACAAAAGAATACAAAGAGAAAACAAAATATAACTTACACAACCTTGATAACCTTCTTGGGCTATGATGGACCAAAAGTACAAAAGTACTTTCTCTCCCATTTCCAGGGCAAACATGGCACAAGCCACCTTTGGAGATGTATCAGATCAACACCCACTACAGTGAAAACCTCTAAAAACTGGAGGTTTCCAAATCACAATTCTCCACAACAATCCAACAAACAGCAGTATACAAATTCAGTGTGTGCTGTCTGAGCACAAAGATGATCCTGATTCCTACCTGATCCATGTGTGTTTTATCATCATCATAGTTCCTGATTGCAGCATATTACATACATGCATATATTTTGAATTATCAATTAAAAAATATAGCACCTTAAAAAAACAGACATCTCGCCCACTGCAAAGTTAGCTTATAAGCTCAGACAGGATCTCCATCACACTCTTCAATACATGGGGCAAAGCTTTACCAATGGTGTATCTCCTAATAGTACTTACCTACTCAAAAGTTTCTCCAGCTTTTTAAAACTTTTTTGCTTAATAACAGCAAGCAATAACAATTTGTACCCAATAAAACACTTTCTGTGGCTAGAGCACAATAATGTAGAATTTTATTTGGTCAGAAAATAATGCTTGGAGGCTGGTCAAACCTAGAATATCTGCACCTTCCACAAATGTCCTCTTTCAGTTCCTCAACGTGAGTCCCTCGAATATGAAAATGCATTGGCCTATGCAAACCACTCATTCAGAAACATGCAAATGAATGACTTGTAATGTTTTTGTTCTGCAGCTACAGCTGCCACAGCTTAGACTCTAATTAATTAGAATTGATACTAAGACATGCTCAGATAAAGGACAAAGGATATGTGCACAAAAAAGGCAAAGAGAGAAGGCAGGAAGGAGAAGATGGTATTCTAGGGCTTGTGACATTCCTCAACATAGTTTCAGAAAACACAGTCTCTAGTTCCACAATCCTACAGCTTGCACCAGTAAATGCATACACATTTAAGAGCGCAGGTGAAAAGTGGATCTTGCAACTGTTTCACAAAACACAAACATTTAAGTCTCTCTTTTCTCTCTTCTCTTTATTCTACTCACATAATATGCTTTGGTGAAGCGGGCTTTCCATCACCAGGCTATAGGCTCTGATCCTCTCAGCAACGAAAGGCTGTAAAGGTTTTAAGCCCCTTCTTGATTTAATGAACAGAAAAGGATCTTACTGACAGACTGCACAATCAAATAATCCAGACTCCAGGGGGCCTAAAGCTGGAGAGATCTTCTTCGTGTGCCACTGCTCAGTCTAGTCTGCTATAGCAACTGGCAGTATATTGGCCATTAACTGAAGGGAATCTTGTGCCATATGGTTATTAGCTGTTAAGACAGCTTTTAAGACCCTCATGAGTTTCTCTTTCCAAAGGGAGGCATAAAATCTTGCTGATTATCTGAAAGCCTACAAATATTTGTTCTGGAAAGATGTAAGAAGTTTATTGTTGAGGGAAAAAAGTGTATGACAGAAATGTTCCTGCTTATTGCTCCAACTCTTCTATTTAAGAATCATTTAAGAGATGCAGATCTTACATTCAAGACCCGTTTGCCTGGAATATAGGTGCCAAATCCACTTTTAGCAGTGAAATTCACTTCTCCAGTAGACATGAACAGCTCATATATCTTGTAGGCAGCTTTACGAAAAATTGGCTTCAAGGAATGACAAAGATGTCATTTATATCTTTTTATATCAAAATTTATATATATAAAAAATATCTTTTGCACTGCAGCATGCAGGATTCCTCCTGACTCTCCTCTCTGGAGAACAAAAGTTAGGTTCTTGGTACCTGGCACATTTTGGTGAATCCCAAACTGCACAACAGGTATGCTGTGGCAGGTATTCCTCACCTTTCTCAAAGGCTTTTTACTTGA